AACGGCGGTTACCCTCCCGGTTGCTTGCGTGGCACCTCTGTCACAGGATAGGAGGGGTGCCAGTAGCACCAGTCCTGACTGGTTTACCGTCGGCAACTCCCCATCCTTTCAGTCTCATCACTGTTCATGATAAAATGATCAGGATCATCACTGTCGAATTCAGCTAAGCCGATTTCCGTCTTTCTTTCGCTTCATGACTAAATTTTCCTCTTTAAATGACGAATCAGTAATCAATTCTGGTAAACGATTTTGTGACGATGCCATGGTTTACCATTTCTCCGATTGTTCCCCGCATTGACTACTTTTCCTATTTTCATCTACCTTGAAGTCCTCAACCGGTTTCAGACTACGGAACGATTCATCAAAACCTGCCGTTGGGTATAGATAGCTGCATACCTTAGGTAGGTGCACAGTGTAAATCGCAAAGTCGTCTCTTACGTCATTTACAATTACCTGAGACATTTCTCGGCATAAATCATATTTTGATGTCGATTCTTTATTTAAGGTGCTTCACAATTCAATTCTTTCTTTTCTGTCTCGAATCCTCAGAATCGCCGTCAGTTTTAGGGCGTTCCCTACTTCGATAACAGTTTGTTGGGTGGAACTATTTATCCTGACCTGGATTGTCTTCTCCGAAACCTGCCATCGAAAAAAGTATCGATGGTCCCCTTTGTCAGGCGATATTGGGTTGATTTATTGAGAATATGAGCCTAGCAGCAGTATCCTTGGTTTCCAGGGCTGCCAAAGAAGAAGATGATCTAACCAAAGGTGGCGGTCGAAGTAGGGGTCGAGGGGTTGGTTCCCAAAAGTGTTTTGATGGCCCACTCACACAATCTACTTGGGGAAAAACTCTACCCCAGCTCAAGGATTTTGCCAAGAAGCCTATGATTTAGTTGATCAGACACGTAGGGAAGACTTGGATTGAACGATTTTCAAGTAACCAACTGGAACAATCTCAGGAAAAGCGGCACCCTGAGTCGGCAACGGAGAATTTGTCTTCCATAAACAGTTCATGAACAGGGATCCAACAAAAGATCCATTTAATCTTTGAATATCACAGTCAGGAGCCTTATAGCTTGATTGGTAATTCAACTAGGGGCAATTACTTGTTTCTTTAGCAGATTATTTGCACCCATGACACTTCTAAGGCTCAGTTGACGTTGGGTAGTGGCAAAAATTGGACTACGAGCCTCTCCCATACCCACTTGACATCGTCTCGAGTACCGACCATTTATTTTATCCAAAATACAATTTCTTCTATGTTGATGTTAACTTTGAAGGATTCGAAATTAGGTTGCGTACTGGATTTCTTAAAATACAAGCAGTTTGGGTTGCCATTAAACTTCGCTTCGTTACTTTTTAAAACTCGGAGGATGGTGGTTCCTGAGTATTTCCAGAGGGACGTTTATGAGTGCACTCCTGCATGTTGTACTTAAAACCCCTCTGATGGCCGTTTTAATGGAACCTTTCGGGAGCGAGGGGGTACGGCGACGTCATGAAATGCCTGACATCTGGGGTGTCTAACGGATAACAGATTTCTTTATCGACTATCTGACGTAGAGGCGATCTTGACGAACCCATGTTCATTTCACTAACCTCCCCCCGTTGAGCTGTTTGTCATGTCTTTTGTGTGTCATCGCTACGATGTTTTCTCAAAACATCTGTCTCCAAAGCAACCTTTCTATTGAACCCTATGACAAGTCGCTTTTTTCCGTCTTCGTTTCGAAGTTTCCTTCAAACATCAGTTTTTATGGCCTTCCGGTTTTCCTTGTCCTAGCAATACCGTATTGCAGGTGATTTTGGGTGACTCGCGACGTCGTCGTCAGTCGCGATGGCTGAAGATACGTACACATGTCGTGTACAGTATGTGGACGACAGCGACCCATTCGCTCCGACGTCCAATGCGTTTCTCGAGCCAATGAGGCCAGTCACATTCAACTTCCGGATCCATGTCATCATTGCCGATCAATTGCCTGAACTTATTCGAGCTCTCAGGGCACCCCATAAGGTCAGTTGTTCTTGCGATTCTGACGCGAGCGGTTGCGATGCGTGCGCAAGCACAGCTCGTCCACTACTAACTAATTTATGTTGGTTTATTTGTTGATATATATATATATATATATATATATATATACAAAGCTTACTTACGAGTGCATTTCACAAACAAGCAAATAAATAAGTACAAATAAACAAATACAAACAAGCAAATAAATAAGTACAAATAAACAAATAAATAAGTAAATTCGAATCGAGCGGTTTTTTCAGGCACTTTGTGAATTTTGTAAATTTTCTAGGCGGGGAAACCTGGACATGACAGATAATGCTCTCTTTTTATTAAGGAGATTAAAAAGTGTCTTATTCAGTTGTCTTCCGCGATCAGAAGTTGTAAATAATAATAACATTCAAGTAAACAAGCAAACTGATCAATAATAGAATGATAGGAGTGATCTTTCTAGACGAAATAAGTTACTGAGTACTTCATGACTTGCTCAAAAGATTTCCTTGAAGTAACTTATTATTATAATTATGCGCTCGAAGCTGACACCTGACGTAAAATAGATAGGTTAGCGATCTGTCCAAGCCTGCTGGCTGCATTTCCATCCAAAAAACAACTGCGGTTTTCCGAACGTACGTTCAAGCCGTGAAAGAGAAAGGAGCATTGGCTGCTCCCTCACCACCGACAATTAGATATGAGGCCTACAATCCCTCCGGAATGACACACAGGTATCGTGGTCCAGGAAGCATTTCCAGAGTTGTCTTTTGAAAAGCATCCAATCAAAGGACATGGTAAAGTGTCCTGAAGCTTTGGAATGAGCTACCGCATTTGACTCCTTCACAGATTCGTAGAAGCGTTTAGAATGCGTATGTGGCCCCACAATGATATGAACAGGCCAGCTAATGTACAAGTCAGGGCTTTCACTCTTCTGTTCGGTACCAATATCCCGGTTATTTACGGATAGAAGACTGGGTGGCCTGGGTTGCTAATGCTTAGGGATGCGATTCCCGGCCCATGCGTGTGATAACGCGCCACTTGGCACTACACCGTCTCCGTCTGCCTACATTCAGCAGCCAAATAATATTAGTTATCACTGAGAAATTCAAAAAACCTCAAGTTACATGTTCACTTTTGAACAAGGATAATTTGGAGTTGAAAGACTTAATGACTGACCAAAGAGCGTCAACGAAATTCGATACCGACAACTATTCTTCCTGAAACTTGCGAAAACAATCAGTTGTTTACAGTACATTACTCTCCCACTCGAAAATGAATTGATTTTTGCATTGTCAGTCGTTTGAGCGGATCTTGATGGTGGAGAGGGGTCGTACATTTTCTCACATTTTCTTGCTTTTTCTCGGCCGAATAGTAACCTTCTGGTTAATTCCTTTTCCATTCAAACATTTAATCCAAGGTCAGGATCTTGCCCAGCCCGATGTTCCTAGCCGTTTGGACTGAGCAAAATATCTTCACCTATTTTACTCAAAATTTTTTACTTATGGTAAGCACACAAAAGTGAAGATTCAGTCCGGCACTCGGCTCTTACAGTAACCTCCTGGCTTACCGAACTGGCCACCCCAGTGTCCTTGCCCAAAGCCCCTTTTCGACCGTAGTGTATGTGACGGGTAAAAACTTGCGTGTTAACACGTGCCGGATTACTGTAAGAGCCGAGTGCCGGACTGAATTTTCGTTCCTGTTGGTAAGCACCATCATAGGGGTAGGGATACGAAGGGGGTACCCCTCCTATCCAACATTAAGCACAAAAGCTCAGAGAAGGAGGAGCACCCTTAATTGTGTTTGGAGACGTTCTTAACTCAAGGAATGTGATTTTCAGCTAAGCTTCAAAAGGGTAGGAGCACCGGGGTCGGTGATATGATTACCTTGGGCAAAAAGCTAGGATGGAGTATGAAATGAACATTCAAGTGACTCACCCACCCCGGTGCTTCTTTCCTCCTCAGGCTTAGGAGAAAAACTACTATTAAGAAAGTTCCTGAGCACCAATATCGGCTCACGAAGTCGGCTCCCCTTACTTTTGCTCTCTAACACTCAATTGTAGGAAAAGCGGTGGTCTTCCCTTTCCTAACTCATTTTTGCTGTTTTTGATATATTCAGCAAATGATCAAGTCCTATCCCAAACGTTTGCAGCCAGTTGCAGCAGCAGCTTCCTCCTACTCATACTTTTTGCTTGATTACTTAATGAATGGGTCCTGCTGGTGACAAGGGGGGTATGTGGTTCACCGATCAGAGTGGCTGTCTCACGGGAATAGGTGTTCTCCACGTTATCAAGCAATTTTAATATCAATGATTATTATCAATCTTATCAATCATATTTCAGCCAGGTGATTCCGCTCTTCAATTGTACAAAAGTCTCGAGAAGGGCGGTGGGGAATTTCTGAGTTACCTCGACAGTGACTTGACCTTGGCTGATCAGAATGACGAATTTAGTGAAATGAAAAGCGACAGGTCTGTTCGTTTTTTACTTCAGCTTTTATTAAGCTGTAGACAATTCTTTATGAAGGAGTTCGGTTGGTCTCGAGGCGATCGACACTTCTAACGAATTGTGCTATCTGACAATTTTTCCTAGTCCATCTCTATAGAATTTCGAATTCACCACCATATACCTAGCTAATTTTAACTTTTCGATCTCTCTACGTGACATACGCTTCTATTAAATGGGTGTATGTGCTTTACTGCAAGCACAAACTTGATGCCTGCTCTGAAATGCAACCTTTAGAGGCTGGTCTTATCCGTTTTACTGAATCTCTGTTCAGAAATGATAAAGTTCAAAATTTTCGAATTTAGTCAACCCTGTTCCTGCATTCAAGTTCAATTCAAAATCATATTGGATTATTGGATGCGTGTCAGGTCTATGCAATGGGTTGCGGTGACCAGCTGATGCTAATATCCTCTCAGACAGGTCTTGTATAAATAAATGGACCCTGAAGTTATGGAAAACTTGGTTTGCTTGGGCATGTATCGATCGAAGATGCGACATACGTCCCTTGCCCCTTGGTCCCTAACCTTGCTCGTAATGCACTAACCAGTAAGTGTTAGGAATGGGGGTGGGGAGGAGCCTCGTTCAGTAGAGGGTCGAGTCCAAAACGAAACCATTAAAGAATTTGGGTTGAAGAGAGGTAAAAGGAAGAGAAGAAGAAGAGGACTCGAACCAGCGTCTCGTTCTCGATAAATATAAAATTTCTGTTTTCCAACAGCTGAGCATTCTTGATGGGATTTGATTCAACGGAAGGTTCAAGTGCCTCCTCCTGCTTGTTCCATCATCTCCCTCTAACATGTAACTAGTACGTATTGAAAAAAAAATTTAAAAATTATTAGCGAAAGCTTATTTAGAGTTCTCTTTTGCATCAGTGTTCGGTCACAGTGATATTTCTCTTTGTAAATATACACTTTCGGGAATTTCAATGCTTCTTAAGCAGTTTTCCATTTCATTGATCATTCATAGCAATTCATTGCATATAGATGTTCCTAGCCATGAATTTCGGGAGGATGAAATCAGGTCTCATGATCTTTCCAAATCACTGACACCGATCCTATGACAATCTCATCTCTTTTGCCCACCCATCTGCGAAGATCTCATCCAGGCCCATGTATTCGCCTAAATTTCAACCAACCGGTTGCCGTTCTATGTGGATAATTGAAGTGAGCCATTTCCTTGAAAAACAAGGTAGCAAGCGTAGCAAAGTTTGCAGATGTAATCATTGCAAACTGGATGGAAAAGTCGTCCATGGAGTTGATGACAGAGGGATCAAGTAAGGGAAGTTAAGGGTGGTGGTAGAATATTGTGTCCTCAGCTGTGACAGTTTTTTCTTCATGTTTTTTTGGTTATTCTCAGAGCAGGAGTGGTTAATTAGGTCTCTGGCTAATCAAGGAAACAGCCGACACATTTGCTCCTTATAATGAACCGATGAAACCTTCCAAAAAGGAATGCTGGTATCAGTAGCTCCTCAGCTACTACTGCTTTGCTCTGTTGGCCTGAAAACTCTACCTGAGGTAACCGCGGCGTGTTAGAGGAACTCTGATCAGGCAAAAATGACCACCTTTCCTCCGTTCCGTGAGCTGATTCTGTAAATTGGAGGGGCTCTCAAGAAGAAGGATTCCCCGGAACGTTAGCCATTCGAGATCTTTTTCAACTCCGTGAAAAAATCTGCCGTTTTCATTCAACCAGCACCTATTTTCAACAAAGCCTCGAGAAGATTTGAAAAGAATCATATCCGATAATCTCCTGAGAACTCTTTAGCGCTCGCACAGTTATGTGAACTCTTTTGAATTTTCATTTTGATAGTCCGTGATTAGGGCTAGGACTTCGGTGAATGAAACCTTTCCATTTAATCTGGGAAATCTTATCGATAACACCCTAGGATTCCCGGCTGGTTGATGAGGTCTTGTGGTTATGCGACGGTGAACCCCTGCTGGTCGTCGCTCTTATCCTTTCGCCTTCTCCTCGTAGTGACTCTAAACCACGACACAATATGCAATGGCCGCAGTAGTAAAATAGTCTACGACCACTACCATTTATGGTTAAATGGTTCCTGGAAGGAGAACAGTCGAAGGAGTCATATCGTTCTTGTTCCAAACTGGGAGATCCTCCAGGTGAGGGTAGTTCTAATTCTCACGGGTGGGTTTGTTCCCATCGGAGGAGCGAAAGAAATCTAATATGGGGACTTCTATCAGACCAAAATGTCGAGAGTGCAAATATAAACTCGATGGACCTAACTGCGAGCAGAGGCAAGGAAAGTCATCCAACAACAGCAGTGGGACCTCCTTGGGACTCTTGGAAGAATTAGCTGTAGGCTTTGATGTTTGCAAAGTCAACTGACCGGAGTTATCAAAAAACCCCCTATCGCTTTCATTTTTCCTGTCCCTGCCACTCCTGTAAGATTGCCCATATCAGGCATATACTGGAATTTCACCCGATTTCTCGTTGGGCGTGTCCACCCGGCCACAACAATCGGTGTCACTCGCCCCATGGTGTCCAGTCGATTGCGATATTAGGCCCTTTTCATATTCTCACGCGCTCTCGAACCTTCTGCACTCATCTGTGGCCTCGTTTTGCGACTATGTCCTTCACGGAGCCGTTCTCCTCTAGATATCCGCCTCTAACTACTCGACAGGACAGAGCCGTCTACTCGGCTGCTCCAGTAAAGGCTTCGTTTGCCAGGACTGTGCCAAGCTACGACGAAATCTATTCAGGTTCTGCGAAACCGATTCTGAAGGCGTATGACATCGATCTTTCGATTCACATCGATGCTTCCACATCCGTGGCAGCACCCCGTCTAGGAAGGGTCACCTGCACCTTTGACGAGGTGGATGCCTACAGACCAAGGACGTCAACTGCCAAACTTGACTTGCCATTGATAGTAAAGCCTCTGAGACAGTTTGATCGCGATTCAACTCTAGAGCGCAGGAGTCGCAGCACGGAGACCCGCGATCAGCCGTTCGTTGAAGCGGCACAACCCCGTGTTGAAGCTCCTGCCATTTGTCGTCGAAGAACCATGGGTGGCGCTGATGATGCCAAACCAAAATGGTATTCTAGCAGCGTCGACGGCGGCCCTGAATCTTCGACGCTACCGAAAAATTTTCTCCGGAAACCGTCCGTTCTGCATACTGCAGCTCCTGTCGAAGTGGCACCTATTCCTTTCATTGACGATGACATTCCTGCACCACCCAAGCCTGCAAGAAGCTACACAGAACTTACCGGATCCACGAAAGAAACACCAGACAAGGTAGCACCTACGCTGCTGGACGGATTTGAGAAGAAACCTGGCCGATTGGATCTTGTAAGCTGCACCGCCAAGCCCGTTCAGCTGGTGGATCCTGTGGCTTCAGTCGTTAGAAAAGAACCGAAACCACTGGAACTTAACCGTTCTTCCTTTCTACAAGGTCCGCCTGATACATCGAAGCCTCCAAAGCCTTCATCATGTCAGGATGCACTACCAACTACTGCTTCGCCAAAACGTTACCCATGGCAAACTGCCAGTACATTCAATGACAAGCCTTCGCCCGTACAGCAGGAGGTACCTCGTGATGTAAGCCATTTCCGAGAAGATAGTGGCTATCGATCGGATCGTAAAACTTCCATGGAATTTTCAACTGAACCTAGTCGATCCATATTGTCTGTGGAACCCCTAATACCTCCGGATCCTCAAAATTCCCAGTTAGACGAGTCCTTCAGTGAGAGCGAATGGGGTAGCGATGATGGTGAATTTCACTGGGATGACGACGACCATGCGATAAACAGGTTTGCGATATCTCCTATATCTCTACGGGCTGTAACGTGACTGTCGTAACGTCGAGACTAGCCAAATTCCGATTGAAATCAGAAAAATATTTGTTCATTGAAATCTTTATTTTCAGTAAAAGATACAGTTTGGTGCTGAGGACTCAAACACCATTGCGGGTTAAGACTATAATTGGTAAGTTGTTTATTGTTTACCTCACAATCAGTATCACGCTGTTTTTGCATTTTCGGTTCTATAGCTCCTGATTTCAGACAAACTTCTCTCCAATACTGGGCGCGACCAACGTCGAGCATTATTCTCACTGAAGAAAATATTTCAGGTCCCATTTCTGAGTATTGACTTTTTACCTTTGAAAATCATTTTTTTTCTCTTTTTCTTCCCTATTATTCGTAATACACTATTTCTTGTTTGGATTTCTGTAGTCTTCATCGTTTACGTGATTCTATGATTGGTAGATGATAAGGAGCCGTGATACCCAATGATACACATACCAGTCCTTATCACATGTGATCGATTTCCATCACCCGTAGTCTACGATTTCATCAGAACCAACGCACAAGACCCAAATGTTAATGTAAAGATCCTTACCAGCCGCTATCAGATGTTATCATTTCCTATTACCCATTGTTGGTGTTTACACGCAGCCACCTGTATTCCCTTCGAGTTTTAATAGTCTAGGCCTAGGGTGGGGAATGCGGTTATGTGTTTCTGGTTGAACACCCGTACCGATACGCTCCCACACACACACGCATAGATACACACACACATACGCACACACGCTCACACACACATACACCCACATACATGCCACACATACACACGCAAACACAAACACACACATACGCTCTGCGTCACTGAAACCCATTTATTGAGCTTAATGAAGTCAGCTTTGACCTGCGTTGTCGAAAGATGTCATGCCCACGTGTTTCTCCCAGATCCATTGAAGTTCCCAGAAAATTCTGAGAGTCTTATGAAGCAAAAGTGCATCCGAACATCTCGTAGTACTCTCCAGGCTGATTCCCTTCCATCACCGGTTGACTGAGCTATAAGGGTGAGTGATCAAGGACTGCTGAGTAGAATTTGCTCGTCAGCCGAACTCTTTGCGATGCTGGGTTGCCACAGGGTTGATTTGCGTTCGGAATTGTGTTACAAACCTACTACTTAAAGGGTTATAGCAGTTGGCGTGCTGGATCAGTGAGGACCAGTCTGGATTCAGCCAGAATTGGGTGTTTATTCTGTCACTGTTCGAACAGGTCTATCATCAACTATCCCACTCCGATTTCGGGGATTGAAAACATGATTGTTTTGCATAGGAATTGCTCCTATGGGTAATTAAAACAACGTTTTCCATCTTCTCTTCAATCCCAGTTCCAATTATCGTGAACTTCATTTAAATCCATCCAAAAAACCAGGAGAGTTTGTTCAGGACGATCGTGATCTCGTGCCGGAATTCGTTCAAAATGGTGGTCTCGATTGTATGGTACGACTTGGCCGACTTGCTGATCAAAATCATCAGAACTACATACTTCGAGGTACCGTAAAACCGAATTTTTCATGGTCATTAAACTATCCATCTCCGTCAGGCTCACTTTACTCTTTTTTTACATTCTTTTCCTTCTGTAAGCTCTTTGCTCATCCTTGATTATTTGTAAGTACATACTGTCGGTACTGTTGGTCGAAACTCACCATCAGTAGGAGGTGTCGCAGAGTGGAAAGGGTTCGGTACAGTCCCATTTCGGCAAATTTTTTTATTTTACTAAGAAGACTGACTGCACAAACATTTTCTGCCTGCTTATTTCATAATTCGTGCCTGCCATAGTTTTGATGTTCATTTTTGATTCTGTTAGAGTGGATTTGGCACTAAAACCTGGCGGATTTTCGNTGCCGTCGTTTTCATTCTTTTTCTTTTTTTCTCCTTTTTTCTTCTTGTTCTCCTTCTTTTCCTTCTTCTTCTTCTTCACGTATTACTACTACTACTACTTATTATGGGAGTCAGCGGGTTCATTTCAGCCCTGGGCCAAGTGATGTTGTACGTGGACGGTATGAATGGCATCATCGCTCATAATATGACAATCCAATGGTTGTACGAGTTATTGGATTCGCCGGTGAGTTTACCGCCGTTGTCTCTACGACTTTTGTGTCAGTTGTCCTGGTCATATATATGTTGTCGTCCGTGGTTTATTGTGGTCCAAAGTGTTCGTTCAGCTATTCGACGAGAAAGAACGCCGAGAAATGAGTCCATTTCGGCTCGAATGGGTGAGCGGCGATATAGGCACCCTGCATGTGTTCCCCACATCCTTCTCATTGACACGCACCTCGATTTTCCTATACTTCAAAGTAACTTTCAAGCCGTGGAGTCCTTTATGAAGACTATATCCCGAAATCTCACCGATTTGATTTCTGGAAACCATCCGCATGGGGAGCTATCACAGAAAATTTTTGACCGAGAAGACTGTGCACAACTGACTTTCCCTGAAATCCACTTTTCTGATTCTCGGTTCCGCTCATTTTCGGCTGGGAGGAGTATATATTAACAGATACAACAATCGAATGAATCTTCTCACTCATATTCTCAGATTGTTCTAACTCTGGCTAATTTGTATTTTGACTTTGAATCGTTTGCGAATTTCCTGCATGAAAGTTCTCCCACTCTAAACTCGACAGCTTTACGGCTCCGTATATTATGAGTGGGCTTGAGTACCTTCGTACTTCTGTTTTCAGGCCCTTATCTCGAGTGGACCTAATGTATACCTCTACCAACCAATTCTATTCATGCAGTGCTAAATACATTTGCTCTAGGAACTGCACTCCTTTCTCTTTATTCGTCAGTTTTAAAAGTGAACCTCAAAGGTATACGTGCATCAGCCACTTCAATGCCTCATCCCGTTGAACGCAAAGACATCATTCCTATAAAATGATCTTGGATACGCGAAAACTTGTCACCTACCCATACCAGCAGGTGTAAGGTACCTGAGGTTTCGGTGGGGACATGCCATACCACCACCACAAGTGAAGATAATTTCATGTATATGTAAACCTTTTATCTTCTTTTTGACCATTGATTTCAGAGGTTCAAAATTCGAGGCATTGGTTACTACTGTTTTCGATTGCGCACCCACTGCCACCT